TATCCAAAGGCTGCCAGAAATGAACGTGGGGTCTGCGCACAACATACATTTGACCCTTCTATCCAAAGGCTGCCAGAAATGAACGTGGGGTATGCGCACAACATACATTTTCCTACAGTAATCATGTTCGCGGATGATTTGATGGTCTTAATCAGAGCCTCCGACTCATCAATGGCTGCCCTGGTCAGGGTAATGGAAGCCTTCAGACTAGCCTCATAAATGAAGATAAATTGGGACAAGACAATAGGTTGGTGGCTTTCAGATGAACCGGTGCCACATCTCCAAAATCCGGAGAGCCAGATGTCATGGGAAAGGCTAGAGCTGCCAACGAGATATCTAGGAATCCAAGTAACGAAAGAAGGCCCACCACCCCAGATGGCCTTCTAACCAGCCAAATTAATAAAATGGGGAAATGGAGTCAAGCGTTCACCTCAATAATGGGCAGAGCACTTACCATCAAAACTTCCATATTCTCAATGATGTGGTACATTGCTTCGATCTGGACTATACGAGATAAGACAATCAAAGACCTGAATACGAAAGCCAGAGCCTACATATGGGCAGGTGACCCGAACAGAGAGAATTAGATCCCTAAGATAGCCTGGCATTTCATCACAAGGAAACCGTCCCAGGGAGGACTGGGTATCATAGATCACAAACAAGAGACGAAAGCCCTCCAAATCAAGTGGGTAGTCAAGTTGTTGTCTAAGCAGTCTTTGCACTGGAACAAGCTTGCACAAGACAGTATTAGAAGTCTGGCCCCCATTGAGTCCCCTCCAAATATGTCTGGACTGTTCTGGGTGATGAACAAAGACTAGATTCCTAAGGGTCAAAGAAGCCAGGGGAGACTAACCCCCACCCAGTCCTCTCACCCGTACTGGGCTGCTCTGCTACGGATCTGGAGAGAGATCATGCCAGAAAAGCTAGGCAAACCAAGGTCCAAAGAAGAAGTGCTCAGGCAGCCTCTCTTCGGTAATCCGTGGATTAGAGATGAGGGAGACCACCCATGGACTTTGTCCAGCAGAGGCAAAATATGGCTATCCTGGATCAAACTGGATGTTTGGCGAGTAGGGGACATATGGAACGAGGATAAGAAAAGCTGGTTGGACGAGACGGACCTCAAGACACGCTTGAAAGGCTGCCATCACAGGGGCGAAAACCTTCAAAACGTAGTACAGAGCATCCTGTGTAGCTGGATAGATATTCTAAAAGAAGAGTTCACATGGAAACCAGGCGAGTGGGGGAGCCCTGGTCCAAGAATCCTCCCCGGTCAGAGCCTACCAATTCTCCCACCTGCAGTCCGCACCCGGTCCAAGGGTTGCATTCACCTCCTTCCCGATTTTGAAGACTAAGCTAGATGAACAATACGTTCAGAACATCGATCCTGAAAAAGCAGTATTGAATGCGTTCATATTGCGGAAAATAAGGATGCTAGGTCTCTGGCCTAAAAAGATCTTCCAAATAAACACAGCGATTCAAGACCTTGAGTTCTGCCCATCAGAATGGGCATGGCGCCCAGAAAGAAATAGAACGGCCAAACCACCAATTCCAATATATGGTTATACAGTTAACCTGGGTTATAAGATGCTGTTAAAAACAAAGGACCCAGACCCAACAATCAAAGGAAGATGGAGCAAGTTAATTGGCTCTGAGACAGACCAGATAACAAAAATCCCATGGAAGAAGTACAAAACGATAAGACATATAAAAATCAGAAGCATGTAATGGCTCATAACCTATGTGGCTCTACTGGTTAAAGAGTGGCTACATATCAGAAGAAGAAAGAACGACCTAACCAGCTCTGATGTCTGTACAGTCTGCTCTGGTCAACAACAGGAAGATGTGATACATTGCCTAATTAAATGCAAAGAATCCACAGAGTATTGGGCAAGCGCAGCAGCACTTTGGGATAGTCTATTCCCTTCTCCCCTCCCAGAGCACCCCCGCCAACTACTCCTATGGACTAACTTACCCTCGAACTTCGGCAAATCAGAGAAAATCTGGTTCGGGATGGTGCGCAAGATCACGCTTTGGGCCATTTGGAAAGAGAGGTGCAGCAGAACACTGGATGGCACGAAGAACCCACGGGAGAAAGTGTGGGCGGCAACCAAAGAGATGATTGAAGCGGAAAGCCTATGTGAATGGAGGAAGGCGTGCAAAACAGTCCAGAGACAGAACAGGTGACACTTGTCAAATTCAGACGGGTCTGGTTGGTTGATAACAAAATGGCTTGGCTAAATGGGCACGCTTTAAGATGGAAAGAGTGACACAACTCTGTCAAGTCTGTAGGCCAGATGACTACTCAGGTACACGAAGATCCGTCTCGAATCTGGGCCTAGATGAACACCCGAGAGACATTTATGGCAGGCGACAACAGAGTTTTCACAGGGAATAGATGGAAAAATAGATTAAGGCGGTCTAGGGTTTAGGGGCAGGGTAGGAGCAGAAACAAGATAAACAAGGAGCAGAAGGATAGAGATTAAAAAAAAGGGGGTTAGGGTTCAAAGGTTCAAAGGATTTAGATAGGGTTTGGGGCTTAAGTGTGGCTATTTAAAAGCATGAGTAGGAGTGCAACAACAGTAGTCCTGAAGT